CACGGTAATTTAAAAAGGGTGAATTAATGTGTAAAGGAACTAAACTAAAAGTATTAATAACTTTAACACTTTTATTGTTAGGGAATCAAATTATAATATCTTTCTAGAATTTCTACACTAACTAGCCAGTTCATTCCTGTTTATATTGTTCCTTTACACCATTGGTCGCCTGGAAAAGTTTGCTATGTAACGATACAGCCACCAAATTTTGCATTCCATTAATTAGTTTTTCTAGTGTTCTTAATTTTGTGTATCCTTTATTTTTTAGTGGACAACAACAGTGAGAGTACCTTTATATATTTCGACACACTTGTATTATAGGTAATACCGCTATCGTATTGAACTAAAACTCACCAAACGGGTCGGCACAACATGTGAATCATGTTGTAAGCGGTTTTCGCTATGTTATTTTGCGACCGGCCCCTGCCTAACGTCAACCCTCCTTGGGAAGCACACACACAGATTCGGAACAATTATATGTGGGTCACACAAATACTTGTTCCGTGTGTGAATACTTAGCAACTTCCTCACCGGTTCATCGTAGCAGCTGAAATTTTGTTCAAAAACAACTAAAGGTAATGCGATGTGGTGTATTTGAAAATACGTATGTACATTACTTTGGAGAAATAACTTTACAATTGAAATACTTGTTTTCGTTATAATACTAAGCTACGGGGTAGTGTTGCATTTCCATTATATAGGAGAAGATATTAAACGTAAAAGTGGTTCACCTTTATAAGCATCGGTTACCACATTCTTCAGAAGAAATGTAAAAGTACAGTTATCGGTACTTTACGCGTGTCTTCTGTGAGGCGATGATACTTCCTCGTACGAGAGTGCTCATTTGTGAAACAATAGTATTATTATGCATCCGATATCTTAACCCCATCATACAAGTAAACACAAGTACTTTAATCACGCCCATTCAACGCAGAGTCAAAATTAAATAGTTTTTATGTTAAATGTTGGACTAAAACATAAATTTAAAATTTCAGACCAATGGGTGAATGTTCTAAGTTCGAATGAATTTCAAGAGTACTTTCGAGAAATGAGAGAAGCCGCAACTAATGAAAAGTACCGACAGACAGACAGACTCAACGATGAATACATGGGAGTAGCGGGCACGTTTAGAACATTAAGCCTCGATTGACATAACAGTATCGTGAAAATTAATGATTTATACAAAATTTATTAAAGTGATGTAAATGTTTTATTGCAATATCTAGGTAGCCTGTGGAAATATGAGTTCTTGCACAGAGTATATCCGATGAAGCTTTACTGATTCGCTACAAATGGAACTGAAAATGTCATTCGATAATTATTGTTACATATATCACAGCAATATTTATAAATTTATATATTTCCTAATTGAAAAAATAAACAAAAATCCATTATACGAGGTATTCGAATTACAATGAAGTAACGAAGTAAGTAATTAAATCTCGCATCAAATAAATTTTTGATGTTGATGTACAATAGGTATTTCATTATGTTATTGGTCTATTTGTATATATTATATATATCATATATATTTTGTATGTCCTTGGTCGGGATACAAAATATTTTAACAGTATAAAATTAATACCAGGAGGACCGAGCTTTGCTCCTTTTTTGTTTTTGCAAATCATGTATTTTGGAAATAAAAAAAAATAAAAAATAAAGAAAGCAATGATCTGGTATAGAAAAAAAAGTAAAAAAAATAAGTGTGTAAATGATCGTGATTCGAACCGCGGCCGTCTGTTTTGAGGCCGCCCGATTACCGACCGAGCTATTATAACATTTTTTTTGCGGCGAAATTTACCGTCATATTCGACATTTTTCATTCCCTGAAAACAGGGATAAAAGGACATTTCCTAAAAATGAAACCTAGCTAGATCGATTTTTCGCCCCCGAATCTACGCACATACTAAATTTCATGAAAATCATGGAGCCGTTTCCGAGATTCCGATTATATGTATATATATATGTACAAGAATTGCTCGTTTTAGAGGATAAGAAGAGATGAATTAGAGGGCCTTAAAAATTTGTGTGATAATTCCAAATAAATAAAATAATCGAATTTATACGCTAATTAATGCGTCTTTTAAATACATTTTTATATTACATTTTTTGTGAAGAAATGTATATTTCGACTTTTTAAACTTTTTAAATTAAATGTTCAAATTTTGTGAAAGTTTTTTTTTCTTTTTTTCATAAATAGCTGATATTGGATCGGCCATGATTCATAACAGCCGTAGAAGTTGTTTAGGAGCTGACTTGTTACAGTGTCGAAGCTTAGTTTCGGTGTAGCTTACGTAATTGTGTTTGATCTTATTTGATGTGCGTAGAATTACAAAAAAAAAAACAAGTATTTATTTGTAATTTATAGGACTATTTAAGGTAAAAGGGCCTTATAGGTATTTTATTACACAGTCCTTTAGTCTCGGGCTCATAGAATAAGGCTAAAGTATCCCCTGCCTCTCGTAAAAGGCGACTAAAAGCAAAATGGTGAGGGAATCGGGGAAGGTGTAGCCTTCTCCGAGGCATGTTCACGCGCAGTACCGAGGGGGGATACTGGTGCGTTCCGTAGGAGATCCCAGAGTCCCTCCAAATGTACAGAAGGTGGCCACCGAAGAGGTTTTAGTGGGTAAGAACCCCACATTACCCTGTCTGTTTTATTCCAAAGTTTCCATAGATAGCGTTAGTTCATGAGAAATTTTTAAATATTTTATGAAAACATCTTTATTTTTTGTTTTTGATTTGCCTGTTTTGCCTATTGTTTTTGCATGTTTAATATTGTGTGAATCGTTAAATTTAATGACAAGCGCCTTTGAGAAATAATGTATGGAGATGGTATTTTGTTCAAGTTAAATCAAGTGTTCAGAAGTTATAGATTAAAAATTCATTTACATTGCGTTACGTCACATGTAAGTACATATGTACAGAAGTACATAGTACATATATGTATGTACTTACATGTGTGTACATACATACATACGTCGTCATGAAGGTGAAGCTAAATACAACGAGTTAAAAACTTTTCAGATTGCTATTTTTTCTTCGCAGGAAGTCTTTGGCATGAGATCAAAATGTATATACACATTTTGACATCGGCGTCGTCTAGTTTGTAGACGCCTTTATCACAATCTTAAAGCAAATCCTTAGTGAAAAAATCTCAAAGCGGATTTTTATCTATTAGTTACGAATAAACTATTGATACGGCTTACGATTGTACACCAAAAGAAATCTGACCCATTGAATATGGACGGAAAGAGAGAACTAAATGAAACTATAACTGTTTTGTACGCGATAAATCCGTTATTTTTGGTTTTATTCCCGGCGTTTTGATTTTCGGTCACGGGACCATGAACGCTGTAAAGGGTCAGGGTAATCTTTTTCAGAAAAATTGCTATCTTTAACTTTTTTTTTTTTTTTTTATGTGAAAAGTTGTCAAACGAGCAGACGGTCACCTGATGTTAAGTGAATTCCGCCGCCCATAGACATCTGCTACACCCGAGGGTTTGCAGATGCGTTGACAACCTTTTGAAAATTGGGCTCCGGTCACCTCACTCACCAGACGAAACGCGAAAGTATTATACTTTACGCACTTTACGCCGGTCTTCTGTGAGGTCGTGGTACTTAACCGGATGGGCCTGCCCATTCGTGCAACAGCCGAGGCTGCTGCGTGGCCCTACCACCGAAAGAAGTAGTAATGTAAATTACAGGATCTCATTAAGGCAAATAAAGTAACATGTGGGAGGTTAATTTTGCTAGATTATGTCAAAAAATTTCCCTTTTTTGTAGAAGAAATTTGCATACTTATTTCCATTTAGTTACAAAAGCTATGGGTTTTAGCAGTACTTTACGTAAATAGGTAAATTTGGTTGTAAAGTTTAATCTCGGGAAGAGTTGTCTTTTACGATGATAGAGCACAAATCAAAAAGTTGAAATTTTATTGACATAATAAATGTAATTATTTTATACATGATTGCGAAGGCGGCAAATATTGAAAATTCTATTGGCTGCAAATTTGTACGGCACTGATCATGAGCCCGGGGTACCGTCAGTTTTTAAGCCCTTAAATGACTATGAACGCTGAATAGAGTTCGACACTTCGGGAATAAATTAAAAATAAACGTAGGTAGAAATAAGAAGTAGGTATGACATTAGCACACCGAAACTGAGGCACTCAAATTATTCCAATTGGTGTAATTACATTGCATCTTGCATCTCTCTCCGTGGCACAGGTTCTATACCATCTATCAATTTATATATAAATATATATATATATATATATATATATATATATATATATATATATATATATATAAACATCTTTATTAAGCAATTATGACAATATACTAACTTTAACACATTTCAGAGTTCATGAGGAGCGCTGAACAAGTAAGAAATACAAATTGCACCGCCATGCTTAATATTAATTCGTCATTGTCCACGTATGTCTTTCATGTTTCGAATTTCTGAAATATTTAATTTCATCTAAATCTTAATAAAGTGAAAATCTGAATATTACATTGTTCTAGATGTAAGACTATAGAATAATGGTTCCCAACAAAAAAACACCAAGAAAAGGGAAAATAAAATATAACTGACGTGAAAATATTTACTAATATAGGTAGTAATGTATAGAGGAAGTTACACAACATTTTGCTGTAAATTTTTATTTTTTGTGTTCTTTGAAGTCCCAGCGACTACTAAGGATTAGGCCTGGATACTTCACGTACCGACAGTAACGTAGCATCTACGCCCTATGGATGTTGCAAATGTCTACAGTTTCATTGCCACTCTCTTGATCTCTATAAAAATTAATACATATTTTTTAAATAATTTGAACACACTGCTTATGTAACGTTTTACTTATATTAGCGAACCAAGCAACACTTGTACTATGGATATTAAATATCTGATGAATATACTTTTCTTTTGTAACTAAATATAAAATAGATACACTCAGACACTCGAAAAACAATACGCTCCGGCAGAGATGTGAGGGTTTAAATATGCGGGGCCCCGTTTGGCGCGGGGCCCGTAACAATTGCCACTCTTATTACGTGGTTAATCCAACACTGGTTATCACGTTCATCAATAGGTTCGCTTTAGATCGTATTTTGGTGTTCGTGAATTGAACAAAGATATATACATATTGTGTGGTTTAAATTAACTGACCCTTCTTGTAATTCAAAAATTGCCAAGAACTTTTATCTTCTCGTATATTGTAAGTAATATAGCATGAATAAGTATAGCAGCTTATAATAGTAAAACATTTTTAAAATCGATCCATTTTTACGTTTTTACACAATATATCTTGCATTTTTACTAATACCGTAGAAAGTACTTCTCTCAAAAAGCGACTATCGATTTTATTTTATTTCGCCGATACTTTTTAATTCTTACCATTTTCCTTCCAATATAAATTTAAAAATTAAATACGACCTCGCCAGCTATTTAAATTCATCGAATAAATTATGTCGCAGCCTTCATTAGGGGTCAACAAAATCCTAAATCATGTTTAATATTCAACTTCCGTGTGTCCGGATACAACGCATCATCGACACCGATATTATAACATCTATAAATTCCAGCGAAAATGTTTACGATGTGAATCCAAACAAATGAAATAATTGCACGTTCTATAGAATTTGAATTGATTCTTGAATTATAAAAATTTTTAGAGGCTGTAATGAATTTGTCTCACACAACGAGAGACTTCATAGTCGTTAAACAGTCGTGCACTGTTTTACTGATAATAGTATGGCTGATTTACATATATTTATTTACTATTGAAGGTCATGGTTATATTTATTCTTTGATTTAAACAATTTTTCAAAGGTGGGTGAAAACTCAACATCTACACTGTAGGAGGAAAAAATTAACGGTTTAACTATTTTTATTTATGACATTACAGCTCGCCAATGGCCACTAAAAAGAAAAAGAAAGCCGGAGAAGACATTTGGAAGAGATGGAGTGTTAGAATTGCATAAAGTCCATAATCTCTGATGTATTAAATATAGATCATACGTGTATAGGTTCATAATATATATGTGAATTATTTACCCATCGGAAAGTATATTCTCTTCTTTGATGTGCGGTGCAGGAAATGTAACATAAAATGGATTGACATGCTAAACTGGGGCTGACAACCTATTAATAATTTGTATCGTACTATATCCCCGAGATACGTAGCTTAATTTCTTTTAAAACATATAAAACTGTAGAAATGTAGTCCAGTTTACCAGACCAGAAGTCACTATTATGAGTAGGAGTTAAAATATAAAAAGTTTTGATTTATGCCTGTACATCCGTTTAAGTGTTCCTGGTGGTCGCAATCTGCAATAATAGGGATCAAAGAAATACTAGTAAGATTTGGTTCCCAAAAGCTAGTTTAGTCAATTTATTGTTTAATAAAATAAGGATTTCAATACCCTGGAATTGTCAAGCATCCTAACCAAAGCTGTCGTCTTCACCAGTACTGTTTTGTCTTGCCAACGTTGTTTCCATGATATTTGGATTTCTGGTGTTATAATCAATTTAAAGAGAAAAAAATGAAAAAATTAATTAACTAACGAAATAAAATTGAAAAAACAAAGAATTAAATTTTTTTGCCTTTGCACCGGCTTTGTACGGCATAAACTAACAACTGAAAACGCAAACATCATAATCATCAGAGGTACAAAAATCGGAAGTAAAAAAAGTATTTTTTATTTATCCATGACGCAAGACTGAAATAAAACTGTGGTAGAGTCATGCAGCAGCCTCGGCTGTTCCACGAATGGGCAGGCTCGTCCGGGTAAGTACCACGCCCTCACAGAAGACCCGCGTCAAGTGGAACTATAATACTTTGCGTTTCGTCTGGTGAGTGAGGTAGCAAGGAGCCCGATTTTCAAAAGGTTGTCAACGCATCTGCAACCCTCGGGTATAGCAGATGTCAATGGGCGGTGGTATTCACTTAACATCAGGTGAACCGCCTGCTCACTTGACAACATTTCACATTAAAAAAATCGTAAATCATAGATCGTAGTTCACCACTCACCAGAAGAAAAGCAAAAGATTTAAGTGCTCCTGCTCTACTTACTTCTTTCCGTCTAGTCGAACTGGACTATAGTATCTATCGCAAAGATCTAAAATCTGACGGATTTAACATGGCACAGAATTCATCTCAACTAAAACAAAAGATCAAGAAATTAACCAGATTATAGAAACTGACCAATAAAATGTTTGTGTATAAATTAACGATAATATCAAGGTTCCCAAAATTTTGAACGTTTCCCATACTTGTCCAGAATGCTATATTTTTTTATATATGGTAGACAGATGCCGTTGTAAAAAAACGAATAACATACTTTTAAATATCGGAATAATAAAATACCATGCAGTAGAAAACTCTTATTTTATTGCAAAGCCATTGAAGGTCAAATAATAACCAGTTTTAGGATACTACATAACATCGGTGTTCTTTGAGGAAGTAATCTCAATTATAAGCAAGGTGTGTGTTGCGATACACGTGTCGGTAAATTAAAGCTGCACTGGAGTTCACCCTTTTTGGGTCTCGACCGTTACGGTGAGTGACCAGGCTTCTTATATAATATGTACCTATGATAATGTTGTCATAAGAATAGATTTAATTATTTTATTTAGTGTTTGTTTTATTTCAACGGGAGTAAATTAAATTTAAATCTAATTCGTGAAAGAGGAAAAAAAAATAATGTTAAAAAAAAATAACGTTATCAATATCTTGTATGAAGACTTTATTTTTTACTTAATAAGTGGAATAAGCGTTGAGCAAATATAACACTTTTAAGTTTTGATGTAACGTGTTTAAAAAGTTTAAAAAATTTAACAAAATTTTAGTACGTTCAATTAGGAGCCTTATGATTAAAAAAAGTTTACATTAACTTCAAGTTCTATAATTACAATAACTATTGCAATATTCGTTTAGTTTATTTATTTATTTATTTATACTATATTGTACACTTAAAACATAGAAAGTACCAATTACAAAATAATTTAAGGGAAGTACTATAGACGGTCTTATCGCTCAGAACGCGATTTCTTCCAGACGACAACCATTGCGAAAAAAATGTTTGCCGTTGAGACATAAAGAAGAGAACAGAGGGAGTTGTACAGAAAAAGAGCATTTTAAAGTTAATTGTAGACGCGTTGAAATAATCAATATGGGACTTATATCAACTGCTTATTTATATGTGTTTATTGAAATATATTATACATATGTTCATAACATTTAATAGACATTTTATAAGTTCTAGTCATAGCAGGAATACCACGTATGTTTTACATTTATATAATACCACTACATAGTACAAAACAAAGTAGTCCCGCTGTATGTCTGTCCCTATGTATGCTTAAAAACTACGCTACTGATCTTAATGCGTTTTTTTACTAGATAGAGTGATTCTAGAGGAAGGTTTATATGTATAATACATTTCACCCGTGCGAAGCCGGGGCGGGTCGCTAGTTAATAATAAAGAAGATAATTCATGTACAATTTTCTTAAAATATCTATTTATTCACTAGATTGTAACTATGAAAAGGTCAACGTTACCGTTCATACAATTATTATAACCAGGATAAAAATATAATTTAGGTTAAAGGTTCATTATAATGAACATCTGTTTGTGTTGCTTGACAACAAAATTGAAATATATAATATCGACGATGTACCCAATTGGGCATCACAAATAAATTAAGAAATTGCTTTTTTGGTTAAATTAGTTACTACTTTATGTTACAGAAATATAATGTATATGAACAGATAGCAATAGCAGTATTTTCCTCTACTGTAACATTTACAATAACAACGACATTGTTAGGTATTAATAAGTTCAGCTATGTTGCTGGTTCCCTAGTATTATGCTGTAACCCAACATGGTTAGGGACGAAATTAATCATACATTGACTTAGAATGGTTTTGATGGATAATTGAGTTAAATTTGATATTTGATTTTACCAAAGCAATGGACCAACCCCTAAGTTATTTAAAACAACTTTTAATGTTTTTAACAAGTAATAGTATTTATTTAAACAATATTATAAACTTTAATGCAGTTAAGGTGGTCCAATAGTCATAATCGTGTATAGGCCTCTAATTCAATATTCCAAAAAAATATAATTCTCTATGTCAATGACGGTAATATCGTATTTGTACGTATTTAAACTTTAAATTAGATTTGAACCGCTGATCTCAATTAACGATACTCGTTTTGATTGATATAGATTTTTGGATTCAGTTATGATAAAATATACATTAATAACTTAAGTGTACTAATAATTTTCGTTATAATTATTGATATTTATTTTATTTTATTTTTATTTTATTTTATTGAGCAACAAAATCAACAGCCCTCAATTAGTTTACACGTATATCACATACTATGCTTAATTTACAGCAAATAATAATATTAATATGTCTAAAATTCGACAAGAATTTGTAAATAAAAAAACTATTTTAGACATAAAAATCTAATAATATGTACTTCATTAATAACAGCCATCAATTTTATATCCAACTTGGCCCTGAAGACGTTGTTTCACAATACTTATGCCGAAATGTAAGAGCAGATAAATCATGCACGGAAGATAATATGCCTATTAATAAAATATCAATGTTACTAAAAACAACTCATTTTCATTATGTACCTATATGTATATATAAAAATACATCAATATCTGCCTTAAAGTCTGAATATTTCTAACGGGAATACTAGTTGGATACCTTTAAATTATTTCATGTTAGACGTTAACAATATAGTGATGAAATAATTACTAAGGTGCTGAGGTTTTTAAGATATACTATACGTTGCATAATATTATAAAATTCATCTATGCACACTATTCTACAAAAAAGTTTCAAAAGAGATTTAAGCATATGTTTTAAAAATAAGACACAACAGAAGTCTGACATATAGGATATATGGATGTAAATGTTTTTCACAGATATGTATATAACATACACGTAGGTACATAAAAATATACTAACGAATTTTTTAACCATAATATATTCAGACGAACACTATATTTAATTGTACTTAATTTGAAGCACACTTTTTTACGTGGAACTCTAATAAGCTTACAGTTTAATTGATTTAATTTAATTTGGTAAATTGATAGTTTTATTTCTTATTACATTAGGAACGATTTCATTATTTCATTATAAACATGACTGTGGGTTGAAGTATTAGATTGCTATCTTCTATTGTTATATAATTCAGTACAAATATTTCTTTTAATTTTCACAGATGCTTATTGAGGGGCAACATCACATATTTCCATATACAGAAGAAGACAAGCAAATGGTAAAAAAAGAAACAGGATTAAAAGATAGCGTTCTAGATGAAGACATTGATGCTGTACTTCAATGGTTCAAGAAGCAACCACATTTGGCCGAAGCACCAATAGGTTAGTGACAAACTTTCATTATAAATAACAAGCTTGTCTTAAACTTAAATATGTTAATGTCCCGATTTGTGAAAATGTTGGCTGCGGAGCCCTCTTAGACTCGCTACTTATTTTGCGAAACAAACTGTTCAGACACTCTTCACTTCTAATTGCATGATCGAATGTACTGCTAAGTACGTTTTGTGTTAGTTAACTTTTTAACATATTTATTCATATAATCATCAACACTATCTGGAATTATAGAAATGATTAAATATAACTCATATTCTTTTTAAGTTTTTTGACATATCAATTCCATGGTAAGGCCACGCAGATGCTTCTGGGCAGGCTCGTCTGGCCACGTACCATGGCCTCATAGAAGTCTGGCGTCAAGTGGAATTATTATACTTTCTCTTTTTGTCTGGCTGGCCGAGTGAGGTTACCAGTCCCGGCTAATTTACCCAGTTTTTAATGCCTTGCTGCATCTGATATTAATGGTCAGGAGTAATCACTGAAAACCGAATTTCTCATACAAAAAAATACTAGGACTGATATAAAATTGTTCAGATTATAGCCATTGTCATTTAATCCTTAGACAGAGTTAGGTTTTAAAATACATGTAGTTAGACAAACGTGTAGTCATGTAGATATTCACAGGCGACGATGACATCTGTTAACAAGATCATTTGACTTCAGTAGCGGTAAATATCAGTCTTATTACAAGATGTAACGTTAAGGACAATGGCAGGTTACCATACATGACTTTAGCTGGGATAAAATCTTAGCGTTTAGAGGTCAAAAATATCTGAAAATGTTCATTACTCGCTCTTAGGCAACTTTATATTAAAAATGTTAATTGGAGAAGGCTTAACAATAAAAATCAATTTTTTTTTATTTTGAGGTTATACTGTGCGGTTTTCAAAAATTGTTCCGCTTTACATTATTTGAAATATGTAAGCGAATGTGACAGATGATATAGAACGTATGATACGGAAAGAGATAGCAGTCTATAAACGTTGCAATGTAATTACACCAATTAGCGTAATTTGAATGCCTCAGTTTCGGTGCGCTAGTGTCATATCTACCTATTATTTGTATATAATATCATTGCATTTGACATTTATTACAGCTTTTCGCTCATGAAACTGATAGGTAATTGAAATATGATCGTTCGATAGGGTAACGTTAGTCTTTGGGCAGTATTACTTTTGTGAAAATAGGAATTTTTTTTATCAGACTGAACCTATACCTAGTCATTTGTCAAAACCAATGATTGAGTGGTAGATTAGTGACTTACATTTTCAATAACCTACCTGTTATTTCAGTTCAGTTTAGTTATTCAGTTATCTTGTATCTTGTATTAACTGATGTTTTTGCTTTCAGTCCCGAGACTATTAAAGCTTCATCTGACGCAGAACTGGTGGACTAGCCAGAACCCACGGGTTTGGGCCCTCCGCTGAGGGTAGGGCCACGCATGTGCTCATGCGTGCGTTTAACTATGGTGTGTCATCTAAGGGCCATCGAGGTCGCGGTTCGGACCGAAACCCCGATGGCCGTCGACTGTGCAATTAGCTAATCGGTGCCTGGGGGCGGTGAGAACCGCCCCGGAACGCGGGTGTACCTTATGTACGCGTTGTGCTGGTCTCGCCGTGCTCGGAGGCGAGGGCGAACTAGTGTGTTTGTTGTTACACTAACTGTGGGTGTAGTGTTGTCCGGCGGGACCCCCGGTAGTGGGTCCAGCGTATCTAAGTCCCCTTCCTCGACCGGGTCGATTAGGACGTTTCGCGGACGACGCTTGTTGACGTTCGCGTTTGTGTCGGGTTGGTAATTTGCTGCGCTTACCACCAGAGGGTTGGGATGATGTTCGGCTCTATCTAAGAACCGTTTGGTCAGGTCTTTAAAATATTCGCGAATCGTCGGGAGTCTGCAATCGCTGTGCAGGTCGACGTTGCGTTGATACCACTGCGCACCGGTTGCGCGGCGGATGCACTTATTTTGTACTATTTGCAACTTGTACAAGCGAGTAGGGTGCGTGTGGGCGAAGGTCATGCATGCGTAAGACATAATAGGTCGTACGCAGGTCTTATATAATAATAATTTGTGTCTTAAGGGCATTTTACTTTTAGCGTTGGTTAAATTGTGTGGCCGGCCGGAGAAGAACGCGGCTCTATTGCGAACGTTATTAATCTGCATAGTAAATGACATACGCGAGTCGAAAGTGACTCCTAAGTATTTGACCTTTTTCTCCCAGGAGAGCGGTTGGCCATAAAGGGATAATTATTCAGTTATGGTAGTTTGTTGAAGAAAGGTAAGCTTAATATGTTACTAGGAGATTCAAAATGAAAGCTGTCTATCTTTAGTAACTGGGATAGATATGAATGTTAATGAAGACGGTTCTTAATGTAAATGTTATATTGGCAGACTTTTTATCTAGACAGTATGTCTGCCAATCTTAATTTTAATGGCTAGTAGGTAAATAAAATAGCTTTGTTGCTTTGTTTATTTAATTTTTATTCATTTTCTAATAATTCTGCCCGGAGCAGATATCAGGCAAATATATCTATTTGCCTGATGTTTGGCCATCCCTAATACGAAACAATTGTCATGACACGTTACTACTTATCGTCTACAATATGATTCTAGATTCTAGAAAATAATATAAGGCCAACTTGGCCTAGCCCGGTCAGTTACAATAATATTCTAAAAATCCCATATATGTCCTTCTGAAAGATAGTACACAACTATACAGTTATTAACCCATAAAAAATCATTTGTTGCACAACGTGGTTGAAGCAAATTATCACTACTTCCCGATGGTTGCTGCACCTGCAGTGGTTCATTTCTAACCTCAGGTTGGGTTCTGACATAATCCAAATGGTTTGCACGTTCAACTTCTCTTTTAGTTCGCACCTAACAAGCAATGCAAACATGATCATTTAACATAATCTGAAAATAAATGTCTGTAAAATAGAATAGTATTTTAAACAAGTTTCCTGAATGTTCAAATACAATATTTTTAAGTCAAGAATGTGGTTTTAGATTTACTCTAAATAACCTAAAGCTGCGGCTCATGTATTGTGCACCAGGGCAGGATGACAAAATAGGTTACTAACACGTATGTTGCAGTTGATACACATGATTCGTTTCGCTATTTTAACAATAGTAAACAAACTAACAACTAATCGAATTATTAAAGCACATCCAATAGGCACATACATAAGCATAAGGTTGCCGTATAAGCAATCAATCGAAGTCCTTGGGCATGCACAAATGGCAATACGTAGCAAAGCATAAAAATGGGAAAATCACATCTATCTTATTCTTATAAGTACACAAGGCAAAAAAGCAGTGAATATTGAATAATAAATGACAGATTGGTGCAAATTAACACGACAATGTCATAAGCAGGATTGGATTTAGGTATGATGAAAAAAATAGCACAAAAAATTGGAAAGGATATTATTTGTAATAAAAATTGTAGTACACTTTATAATTTTGTTTTTACAGGTATCAATCCAAGTTTATCAATTCTTCAACATTAGTTTCAACCTTAGAATTTTTTTAAAATACCCTGAGTAGGAATAAATTCAGTACATACTAAACTTTTTTTTACCATCTCTGATAGCCTCAGAACACAATAAATCGCGCGTCTTTGGATTATATTTATTTTTATCATAGTTTAGGAAATTAGTCTTAATATTATTAGACATCTATGAACTCATAGTGCAATATGCAAAGATACTCTTCAACAAGCTAAGTATAGAAAAAATGTATTTAACGGGAATTCCCCGTAAACATTTCATTGATAAATAAATAATTCGTGATAATAATTGACAATGACACATGGTAATATCCACTTTGTATTGTTAAAAACAAACGCTATTACAACCCAATAAACCTCTTTTAATGTTGGATTGGCATTTATATTGGTCTTTTATGTAAACTAACAAAATTATAGTATATTTTCGTACTATCCCTAAATATGGATAGTATATAGTACAAAGCATTAAATTACAGTACAAAATCCAACCCTGGTCATAAGTCACTCGTAAACATAGAAAACCAAAATGGAGCTAAAAAAAGTCAATTGAGTTGTTAATAAACACATATTTTTATACATAGTTTAACAACTGAAGTTAATGTGCCGAAAAATCGTGGAATATAATTATATTTAGAAACCTGAATATCAATTTTTTAAACGCTTAATTTTTTCTTAAATAAGATTTCGCCATTGTCCTTTAAAACTTAACATCATATCACATGTTATTTCGCCAATTTATTAGAAAAATCAATTCAACTGGAGACTCAATTGTCGTTTACGTAAATGTTAATTTTCAGCTGTTCTTTATTACCAAATATTTAATTTTAGGAATGATGTCTCGATCAATAAATTTGACATGGACTTTTTTGAAATAATATATTCGAAGTATGTCATTGTTGTTATAATTTTGTTATTCAAATAGAGTTCACATGAGTGCGATATAATTACAAAAACGTATAATTATGTTAATGTGACATATTATATAATCATTGTAAATATACAATATAATAAATTAAACATTTACTACAACACAACTATAAATAAATAAAACTCCAGCCAGACTAAATACCTTCAATATGGTGTAGTTCAAATGTTGAGAAAAGTGTAAATTCTTGAGACTTCTAGTAAACAGTTCATTATATTTGTAATGACAATTCGAAAAATGTGCAAATACCTTCAGCCTACACGTAAACAATATCTGATTCCAAAAAATAGCGTCTCTTTTTTTTTTCGAATAACTCTAAAACTGACTCAGTGGCGCAGTTGCTAAGCTATTGGCCCACCAGGTCAGTTTCAGCGTCGGAGGTTCTAGGTTCGATTCACACAGAATAGGCATTTATGTGACCCATAGATAATTTTACCAGATCAGGTGTTTATTCCTAAGGAGGGTAGTCGGCAGACAGGTAGCCGGACATTTCAAAACAGTTCAGACATTCTGTTGGCAAAATTTTTTTAATATAAAATATGATTAGACATTTAATCAGCATAAAATATACAGTCACCTGGGATTTTAAGGTCAGAACATAACATAACAGCACATAACATTATCTCATCTTTTTGTTGTTTTCAACAAAACATTTTTTTTGCGAGAATTGAATTTTGTTCATTATGAAAAGTATGATAATATTATTTATTACACCGGATGGAAGTAAGCGCAGATTTGTTTTAATTAAACCGTATATGCCAATTAATTGCTCTTTTAGAAACCGTAATTGCTCCACGTCTATTACTATCAGTAAGCTAATAACACATTTTAAAAAAATTTAATTACGAAAATTTTATTCTACAAAATTAAAAATTTTCGTTTTCAATATTAAAGTATTTTATTTTAGGATTTATTTTATTTATTTATTCTTTATTGCAATTACCTTAAGCAAAAATTACGAAGGGCGAACTTAAAGCCTTTTGGCATTCTCTCCCAGTCAACCCGGGGCGTGGTGAGAAATCGTGGTAGGTGCAATAATTATATTAATTATTTATATGGATTTACTGAGATAAGTAATCTATTTGCAATGGAAACTAGGTTTCAATAGATTTTATTAGTGGTCTTGAAAGTGCTACTTATATTGCACTTAATCTTATCTTTGTTAGTCATATTGGTCAGTCTGTCACTTAACATTAGAGACGTCAGTTCAAGATTGGGTTAGTGCGGGTTCTTGACAATAAGTATTATTTTGTATAATAATAATAATAAAATATCTTTATTCACATAGACGCTTGCGCGTTCTTATGAAACGTCGAAATTTTACAAGGAAATTAATATGTTCGTAAGTTACCACTTAAGGAGGTTAGTATTCTTACGTAAGTTGTATACACAGTAACATAGAAAAGATACATTCACTGTAGTTGTTCTCTGTAATAATTTATGCTCGTATCAATTGTATTCCTTATGATAACTGATGTTATAAAAAGATAAAATAAATAATATCATGATTTTTAATCAATTTCAGAAAGAGAAATTATCGAAAAAATTTTGGTTGTATCGAAAGGTTCTCGTGAAAAAACGAAGAATAGAATCGATAATTTCTACAAGTACAGAGCGTTAGCCCCGGAGCTAGTGCAAAGTAGAGTAGAATTGCTGTCCAAACCCGACGAAAAGATATGGACATTTTTGTAAGTACCTTGTTATATTCATTTAAATATAGACCATTTGCCATGTATTTGATTAAAAATTATTTTTGTTGCGACTAGTAACAAGAGGGCCGTTCTTTTCTCGCTGCTATGCTAAGCATGACTATTCATCGAGGGAATGCGGTAGTTCTTGACGCTATGCCGCGTTGGCTATGTTGTAAGATAACAGAAATTATAGAAATATAATAGACTATATGTGTCCCACTGCTGGGCAAAGACCTAATCTATACAGAGTGTACCAGGGCATAGTCCACCACGCAGCCACCACTGACGGGTAGATTGGTCGACTTCACATATCTTCGAAACACGATTGAGCACGTGATAGTTCAGCACTTAAAATTAACAATTTAATTGCCGCCGGCAACCAGAATCGAAGATAAATTTTTCCGGAAGGGCAACAGGCCTACCGTGAAAAAAGCTATCCAATATCATTAACAGCATGATTCACATTTTGTGTCGATCCCACCTAGGTGGGCTAGGTCAGGAGCAACGGAAAACGTTGTTTTATTTGTGATTTTTACAATAAGTTGAAAGAATAAAATTACCCATATTTCTTTAACATTTTAGTGGTCAAGGCATAATTCCGAAACTGTATGATGGCAAAAGAATTTCGTTTATACATTTCAACTCAGACGCAAGCTCTTTTGACAGTGAGATCATGTACAGGAATATTATACTCGTAAGTAACATTTGTATTATTTCTCCTATGCTTAAATCGCTTAACTAATCTACATAATTTGCGCATATAAAAACATAAATTAACTCAGACACTGATTTCACTATTATCTATACGGATAAATAAAATTGGAGTGTCTGTTTGTAATATTAAAATAACCGCTTTTTAAATGCATATGGATGCATACACGGTACATATACCAAAATAACATTTTTTTACAATTTTTGTCCGTCTGTCTGTCTGTTTATTCCGGCTAATCTCTGAAACAGCTGGACCGATTTTGACGGGACTTTCACTGGCAGACAGCTTGTGTAACACGGCGTAACTTAGACTACTTTTAATTTAGACAGTTAATTTGTTTATTTTAAATTCCACGCGGATGAAGTCGCGAGCACAGCTAGTCTATACTAATATTATAAAACGAAGTTTGCTTGTTTGTTTGTGCTAATCTCAGAAACTCTTGGTATTATTTGAAAAATTCTTTCAGTGTTAGCCCATTCATCGAGGAAGGCTATTGGCTATATATCATCACACTAAACACCAATAGAAGCGGAGCAACAATTAAGATTGTTTCAATTAAGATTGATAGTAAGGAAATAAAAAATATTTATCTGGTCCTTGAATACAATAATTTTGTTACATAAAAAGAAAACAATCCTAAATGCTAAATATAACAATACTATGCAACAAACAGGTAGTCTCGGGACTGAAAGCAAAAACATCAGTTAATACAAGACCAAACAGGTTTCCAATCAGCGTTAGATTTACGAAGTTTAAAAAAAACTTCATGATAGCTGATTTTCTGTGGAACCGAGATACGGAGGTAGATTACTATACCGATAGCGTACATTTTACAAACCTCAGTAACAGATCTTAAAACTACCAAATAATAATAATAACAAAAACAAAAACACAAGGTAAAATGATTAAAAGTTTTTTAACACTTCCAAAAATAAATAGACATAGTCAAAATCAGATTTACTAGGCATAGTTATAACAATCATAATAAAAACAAATAAACGAACGTGTATCTTTATTTGTCTATCTATATGTGTGTGTGTATGCGAGCGGGCCGATGTGTGTGCTCGCGCGCGCGTGTGAAAATAAAAAAAATAGTTTTTTGTTTCCTTTTAAGAGCTTCCTCTTGCGCTGCGTAAACAGTTAGTTTCGCAAAAAATCATTGACAAGACAGAATTGTTCCCCTTTAAAAGTTCTAACAAATAGTCCGCGACAGCAGTTATGTCTTATATCTTTTAAGGTTAGCTAACTATTGCCTTTTTAATGCTAAAAAAAATTGTTCTAAAATAATGCATTATTTGCGAAGGTTTTTTTTTACAAACATGATATTAATCCTTATCCAAATAAATACGTTATTTATCACAAGTATTTAGTTTGAAACAAAATTGCCCTTGTAATCATTCGATTTCAATGAATATCTTAGAAGATATCGCAGTTTTATAATAACATCGCAGCAAAATAATGATCAAGTGCAAGTGATCAAGATATTGAGCGTGCGTTTCTGATGTGCAAGCCCGGCGGGCAGTTTCACCTTCGGCGTAAACGAAGTCGCGGGTTAAAGTCAGCGTTAGCCCAAAGTAACTATTCCACACGAATGAAGTCGCGGTCAGAAGCTAGTACTGAGATACAGCCATGTCTGTAACTCGTCTTTATTATCAGACTAGGCGAAGCTAACTACTTAAATAAACTGTACCTCTTATTACGCGGTAAAATCACACTCTTCATGTTAAAAAAAAACGTTGGTTGGTAATACGACAGCAAAAAATCTCGGCAGTAAGAATAAAAACATTGTAAACAAAATCTCATTATTAATTCAAATTGTATGTAAGAATGAAGATAAGTTAATGCAAAATGTTTAATATATTTTAAAAGTAATTAAGAATCTGGAAAGCCTGAATACGTCAGATTTTCGCGACATAATAATTTTATGTTTTATCGCACTTTATTTTGATTTTAAATTACAACAAAAATATGGCACCGTGTTCATGGTGACGGAAAAGATTGAGTTGTTTTAATCCACAGTTCACTCAGGCCACCGCCAATTATTTTATTATTTACTTCTTGAAGTTTCACAGTATTAATGAGCATAAATTTATATGTTTTTTTTTTTTAATGTAAGAATATGGCAAGTGAGATGGCGGGTCACCTGATTTTAAGCACCGCCCTTGGACACTCACAACACCCGTAGGGTTACATATGCGTTGCCACCTTTCATTAAAGTGGGCGCCAGTTACTTCCCTTACGAGACAAAATGCAGAAGTATACCACTTCCACTTTACGCTCCTGTTCTGTGAGGTCGTGGTACTTTCCCGGCCGGACCTGCCCATTCGTGCAAAAGGGAGACTGCTGCGTAGCCCCACCACAGTTTTTTTTATGCGAAAAGTTGTCAAACGAGCAGACGGTTCACCTGATGTTAATTGAATACCGCAGCCCATGGACATCTGCCACACCCGAAGGTTGCAGATGCGTTGACAACCTTTTGAAAATTGGGCTCCGGCTACCTCACTCACCAGACGAAACGCGAAAGTATTTGTCATACTTCCACTTTACGCTAGTCTTCTGTGAGGTCGTGGTACCTACCCGAACGGGCCTGCCCATTCGTGCAACAGCCGAGGCTGCTGCGGCCCTACCACCGAAAGAAGCAGTAATGTAAATTACAGGATCTGAACCATCTTCTCTATTGACATAAGTTTTCTTCTTAACATCACACTCAGCAAAAGGAATGAAATTAAACCGTAGAAAATCAAGAGCTGGCATTGAAGAAAGAATATACAGAATACGTGCTTTATCTAAATTATATAATTAACTAGAAGGGGTGAATATAATTTTATTGTGATGAAGCTAACTATAAGACGATTTATCAACTCCAAGAGATTGAAGAAATTTCCTAACTTTCGCAGGGTCACCGTTTTCGCCAGATTTTTTAATGTAGCGTCATTGTGCACATCTCTATAAAATATTATGCAGCGATTTCGTGTAATTTCGCAAATTTTATCGGAATAATCAGCTTTCCAGATTGCTTCGCTCCAGGCTCTTTCAATCGGGGTTCTTATATTGTATTTCAACGAATTTATGTCAAACTGCTTATTTAAAAAAAAAAAAAAATAGCCCGCTGAGTTTCTTTCGCCGGTTCTTCTCAGTACTGTGGCTTTCTTTTCCGAATCGGTGGTAGTGTTTTGACTATCAATAAGTGAGTGTAATGCTCCTATGTTGAATAAATACATTTGATTTTGATTTTGATTTTGCTTTTCGCAAAGCATTTTTACTGTTGTTACCTAAAATAAGTTAAATATTATATATGTTTATTAAAACTCGTATTTCCATTTTTTTCAGACCGTAGACCTTCGTTTAAAGTACGATTACATATTTGGCGAAATTTGGATTATTGACCTAAATAATACAGGCCTTGGACATTTGATGCGTATGAATCCGATGATTGTTCAGAAAGCAGTGAATATGTACCAAGTAAGGAAAAAAATTATTTTCTTGTTAGTCCTCGTAATCAAGGCGAGTCCCAACTTTTGTTTTTGAAGTTAGGTGGTACCGGCTTTTCATTTATATTATTTAATCAACTATTACTTTACAAAAATTCTAGTATGATTTAAACTTTTTCCGATAACTTATACCCGATACCAAAAGCCAATTGGCCAAGAAAATAATTACTTTCTTGTAAAATGTTAATTGATTAAAACATGACCTTTAAAAACATTAAAAAGTCTCGTCTAACTCGTACTAACACAGATAATCGTGGTTTCCTTAATTATTCATTACTTACTGCAGTCATGCTTGTTGGCTACATTAAAAGAAGTCGTTTCTTAAGGTCGTTGGTAACACTAAAAGAAGTGTCATTCTATGAGGTATAAATGCAGCTGCACGAAGCATTTCATGGTCTGCGTCATCTTTCTCTGGCTGTAAACAAGAAGTATACGCGATAGTTCTGCCCAATCGGTATCACAAATTAAATCGTTAGAGTGGTGTTTCATTAGTGGATATTATAGTGATAAAATAAGTAATTATACCAGTGTTATTGTTGTGCAAAGTAAAACTACGGTGATTTGGTAAAAGTATTTATATTTCTACCTTCTTAGCTCGATAACACAAAGTAAAGCTAACATCAGAAGCGGGATTTAACCCTTGTGTATAGTTTGTATTTGCGCCCTACGAGTGTAAAGTATGGTAATGAAAAAAAAAAACGAGAACTTAAACGGAAAAGTAAAAAGGCTTCGCAATCATTGTTCAAAAAGACGAGGAAGGTACATTCAGATTTACACGGAAACTAAATTGTGAGTACATTTATAAACCTTCATAATATCATGGGCCATTTAAACGGCAAAAACAAGAATTAGTTTTCGTGGAATTATGGCACGATTCGTTACCAGACTTTGATAAGCTTTGGTATGAGTGGCGATCGAATGGGAATATAATATGAGACTGTGGATTAAGATTGATAACTGAAATGTTATCTAGATTATAATTTATAATTGAAGCGTGTTGGTAAGAATCGGAGTGGTGTGTTGAAGCAGTCTCTACTAAATACTAAAGGTGTGAACTGGAACCGGCGCTACCCTGGATTATTGGAGTGATGAGCATGTAGTGGATAACCTAAAGGTGACATTATTACTCGCCAGAATCCGAGTAGTGAGCTGAAGCAGTCTCTACCTAAGACTAAAGGTGTGAAATGAAACAGGCGCTACCCCGGATTAAGGGAATAATGAGCATGTAGTGGATAACCCAGGGGTGTAAGTATTACTTACCAGAATCGGAGTAGTGAGCTGAAGCAGTCTCTACCTAAGACTAAAGGTGTGAACTGGGACAGGCGCTACTCCGGATTAAGGGAGTGATGAAACTCGTTAAACATCGTCTAAGTCTAAAGACAATGTTTAGGGTTATCCAGTACCATCTATTTAATTAAGCTTTTTATTTTTGGGGGGCAGTTTATGGCTAGAGTAATTTGTGTTACAGACAATTTATGAACAGTTTCCTTTGGATATCTTAAAGATTTATAAGACTAAAAACATCGTATAGAATTCGATGTAGTAGCATTTCTGGGAAGGATTTAAGGAAAGGAATGGCCGAGCAGTACTTATAACACAAATGTTTAAAAACAAGATGTTGGTTTCAGTTGATTTTGTCATGTTTTTTCGCGGCGACTGGTTTTGCATTGTGTCTGGGACATGCACAGTGCAGGAGGGCCGTGTTGGCAACATTAAAAGAAGTCTTTCCTTAAAGTCGTTGGCAACACTAAAAGAAATGTCATTCTATGAGGTATAAATGCAGCTGCACGAAGCGTTTCATGGTCTTCGTCGTCTTTCTCTGGCTGTCAACAAGAAGTATACGCGATAGTGCTGCCCAATCGGTATCACAAATTAAATCGTTAGAGTGGTGTTTCATTAGTGGATATTAAAGTGATTAAATAAGTAATTATACCTGTGTTATTGTTGTGCAAAGTAAAACTACGGTGATTTGGTAAAAGTATTTATATTTCTACCTTCTTAGCTCGATAATACAAAGTAAAGCTTACATATAGAAGTAAAATATAACACTACACTGTGCTTAAGTTGAAGAGATGTAATAACTTTTATTTCTAAAACGACTTTCATACGATTTTAGAAGTTATAAAAATGCAATTTTTTTTTTAAATAAGTAGGTACTTTTTATTCCTGTTGTTTCTTGCTTGTTGTTTTTTAATAAAATAAAAAAATATATGCAATATGTTGTGTTTATCATATTATACAGAATTGTTCTTAATAGCACGGAATATTCATTAGAAATAAAGTTCTTTTTAAAACAAATAATTATTGTAATAAATAATTGAACTTCTACTATCAATAAGAAGTAGTGGTGACAAGAGAGCTGGTTCTTTTCTCGCGCAAAGGTTGAGCAACTATAATGCAGCTAGCGTTCTTTGTGGATTAGGTTTATTAGATAATATGTAATTTTAGATAGATTTAATCTTGTAAATATTAGATCAATAAAGATTGTCCTTTTTTTATAAGAAGTCAATTCGGGGATTTACATCTCTCGGAGCAATATGCGAAAATATTATGCTTTTATTTCAGGAAAGTATGGGAATAAGAGTAAAGCAAATACATTGTATCAATGCACCGATATTCGGACATCACGTTGTTAATTTCATGAAGAAATTTGTGAAAGCGAAAATGATTGAGCGGGTCATAATACACGACTCCATTGAAAGCCTGCACAGGCAGGTGCCTAAAGAATACCTACCAAAAGAGTATGGTGGGGACCAACCAACTTTAAAGGAGTTTACTGGTGTGTATCTAATATATAAAATTCTCGTGTCACAGTTTTCGTTGCCGTACTCCTAAGAAACGGCTTGACCGATTTTGATGAAATTTTTTGTGCTTATCCGGTATCTATGAGAATCGGCCAACATCTATTTTTCATCCCCCTAAATGTTAGGGGTAGTCCACCCCTAATTTTTTTTTATTTTTTAGACAAAATTTTTAATTTCTATGTTTTTATGATACAACATACAAAAATACATACAATCCTCAATTTTCACCTCTCTACGCAGACGTAGTCGCGGGCAGCATCTAGTTTACTATAAAATTTGTCTTATATATACCTCATTCTGCTAAAATATGGTATGGTATTGGGATTTTCTTTTACTTATAAAATGATGGATGAACTTTGGACATATGTAATTTATTTCTGCCCCTTGTTGCCCATGTTGCGGGTAAAAAAAAAGCTTTTGGAAAATTCTAAACATTAATTAGATGATATTCCTTTCTTTCATTAAATATAATAGTTACTCCTAATAAATATCACCATAGTGTCTGGACTAACAAACATATACATTTTAATTTTTTTAACACTTATTAATTAAATATTAGCCATCTTTGTCCTATTACACCGAGGCAATTTTTATTACTAATTATCTTTATGTGATACTTTTTCAGAAAACTTAGAAAAAGAAATAAGAAATGAAAAAACGAAAGAGATGCTCCTAGACTACTGCAAAATTGTTTCTGATGAGAGTAAAAGACTTCGCGATAAATATGATGAAGACTGCATTGTGGGCTCCTTTAAAAAATTAGATTTTGATTAAATATTGCTTATAACGCTTTGGGGTGCAGTCATTTAATTTATAGCATTTGCATTACCTATTTTATAAATAATGTAGTGAGAGTTAAAAAGTTAATCAATTTTCATAATTTTCAACAGAATTCGCTGAATATTGTCATGGAAAATGTTTTTATTTTTATTTTATCTGTGATACATTTAATTTTAAAGGTTATATTATCACCTAAAATATAAGATAAAGCTTATTACTTTCTATCTTAAATATTTCATTAAATAAGAAGAAAAAATAATTAAAAGGTGTTTTATTCTGTTAACTTCAAGTACTGAGGTAAGGCCATGCAGAAGATTATGATGTCACACGTCAGGGGAAGCACCAGGGCCAATAGAAGCATCATTAATCAACTTCAAGTTTTCTGAAAGATCCTTCACATCCAAAGAAATCGTCAGAACTTAAAAAACGGGTTCTTTTTGATTCGTCACTGATAACTTGATCCTGCTCCTTAAAATAATATTTCCAACCGTCTGATTGCAAAACGTTCGTCCAGTCCTCTAAAATACATTAAATGTTGACAATTATAATTATAAATGTGACCCATTAAAAAGAATAAAAAAATAAATTTTGTTATTTATTTTATTTATTTATTGTTATATGGAAAACTACAGCATGAATACAAATTATAAAATATAAGAGATGAACATAATTAGAGACTTATAATTAAAGCAAATTACAGTTTTCCTTTTAAAAGACTTAATAATAAGGTACGAGCAACAAATACAATGTGTGTGTGTGCGTGCGTGTGTGTGTGTGTACGTGCTTGACTACGTGCTTGACTATTGTTCAAGGATTTTGAATTGTGACCAATGATTCAATAACAAATTTCTTAAACTTCTTATTTGAGTTGAAGGGGTCGACATTAAAAAAATTTGAATTGTATGAGCGTGGTATGCGAGACAATACTGAATTTGATGAATACCGGGTATGAGAGAGTGAAACATGAAACAAACGACTATTACTGTGACGCGTACGCTTAGACGGCACATTAAGCGAAAGCCCAGATAGTAACTGTGATGAGTCTATTTGACCTGTTAGTAATCCTTGCAGAAACAGCATATCTAATAATTCACGTCTATCGTGCAATGGAAGTAATTTGTAGTATTGACAACAGTATTTATATGAGACACCGTTATAGTAAGTTTTGAAATTGAGATATTTAATAAACTGTTTCTGAATCGATTCAACAGCGTTTATGTAAGTAGCATATTGTGGAGACCAGACGCAAGAAGCATATTCTAGAGTACTTCTAACATACGCAAAGTAAATTCTTTTAATACATTCATGATTTTAGATACTCTAAATATGAAACCAAGTGTTTTATAAGCTTTTTCGACTATGTAATTTATGTGATCTACCATAAGAAGTTTCGAGTCTGTTAAATAATGAAGAATCTGAGAAGTTAAATAATTGAAAAGCCATTTTTCTACGTTTAAGACAAAAAGGATCACCAAAACTGTTAAAAATACTAACATTTATGTTCGCAATTATACCGGACCTATGTTATATTGTAAACCAAGTATTCAAAATCTTACCTGTTAGTTCTTCACAACTCAACTCATCTCCGCCATATTCCTGCGGTAAAATGCTTTTTGGAAATAAGTCTTGAAGCTCATCGAAATTCTTATGTATGCATATTCGTTTGGCAACTTTTGGTTTCATTAGTTTTTTTACAACATTTAATACGGGAACGACGAAGGCAGGCGTGTTTACAAAATGTATGCTCTTTATCTTCGATCCGAAACAAAACTAAAATTTTGAAATCATAATAATCATTTTAATTTTTTTAAATAAAATTAGTTTACTAAATTTACTAACTACCGTGAAAGCATGTGATGTATTGCATGCTTTCACGGTCCATCATTCACGGTCACAGACACAATTATTGCAGGTCTTATAAATTTTGTTGGATTAATAGTTTTATCTTATTCAATGTATGATATTCATGTAAATACATAAGAGCAACTCTTATTAATTATTTTATTAGTTTTGTGTGACGGGACCAACAACATGGCATAAAAATATTATTAAGATATAATCATTTTGAGACTCCTTATCATAAAAATCATTTATGAATCAGTAGCAGTTCTTTTGATGGTAAGCGATGACACAGTATTACCAAGCAAGCCAGACCAAATACAAAAATATAAATACTTTTACTTGGTGATTACGGTCTTTGCTAGGCCGTAGTACTACTATTTATGTCAAGCAGGCCAATTTTGTAATGCATTATTTTTTGTTAGCTTATGTTTAATAACATGAATGTACAATTAACTGGAAATAGACTAGGTAACATTAGGCTTTCCTTTCTTCACTTATCACACGTATAGATATCATAGACATAGAAAAGGAAAATATAAGTTTTTTATTGTTATTCTTACTCGTATGTAATATATTATTTTTGTAAGAAGCGCTGGAGTCATTTGTACAGAATTTTGGAAGGAAACATTCGTAAGGTCAAAGATCCATTGCTCGCCTAAAGATACGTCATTCCGCATTCTGTAATCCAGCATCATAAAAATCGTCTTAACCACATCAGTTGCCACGATGTCAATCGGTTTCTTTATTCTAAAACAACATGTTCATAACAATAAGTCAGTTACGTTGAGTTTGCGCATATTTGAGGAGCAGAAATAAAGTCCAATTATTTTTCTTATGTTCTAGAAGATTAATACTATATATATTACCATGTAATAGAGACTACCAAAACGCAGTTGGATGACCACGTCATATCTAATCCGTTCGTCATATTTGTCTTGTATATGTTTTTAGGTAGGAGAAGTAAATACTGTGCCTTTTGTGCACAATCGTCCGTAATAGTAGACACTTACAGGAAAACCAATGGTTAAAGCTTAAATTTATTACTAAAAACACAACTGAACCAATATAGGTACCTGATGATAGAAACTCTGTAATTGCTGGGAGTCTTCTTTGGTAACACAACAAGAAATCCAAATTTTAAATTCTTTATTATCTCCGGTGCCGAAGGATCTCGAGTAAGCAATATTTCTGGCATTTTGTGCTTGGCTGACATAATGTTGTCGATTTTATCTTTCACTTCTTCGATCCTGAATCTCTTTAAAATCAAATGTTGTAATATCATATCGTACTCTGTAAGTAGAAGGATGATTAATAAGTTTATAAACTGCAAGTATATTAATTATATATAAATTATTATTTGAAATATTTTATAAATTAGTATATATTAATGATATTATTATAATATTGTGGCTAAATAAAAAGATAACATATTGTGGACGTAAAATTTTTAATTTTAGGCCTACTCTCTACATTTAGGATGAAATGTACAATGTGTTCATAAATTGTTGAAAAACTTTTCGCCGCTACAAGGATTCGAATCTATGTCTTCTGGGTAACGCGTCTAGATGTTCTAACTAAATAAGTGCTCGATATCGTCACCGTGCAACTGGCAGCCGTGAAAAATTTTTCGACTGTTTTAAACTCCTGTTACTGAAATTTTTCGACTGTTAGATAAATCTACACATTTTTAATTTAACGAAAGATTAATTGCAATGAATATTTTACGGATATCTCCTCTTTTAATGACTAAGTTAGTAGGACAGATATGACCAAGAACACGTTTCATTACCACCGTAGCTTGCGGAGTGCAACATAACAGTTAATTCTTGTCCAAATGTGACATTTATAATATAATATTAAGTTTCCTTATTAAAGAATTCTTTGATGTCATAAAATTATTATTATTTTACCGCATAAGCAAGTTTTTTAATTTTGGTTCAGAATTTTCAATCAAATAACTACATATTACTAAATTTTGCTGATCTAGGTGTGTATGTTAGCACAAGTCTATGTGGGTTCCTTTTTTCCATGTTATTAAACTCGTTTTAAACAATTCTTTATGTTTTTTTACAAAGATACATATATTTCATAAATTATACGTATAACGACGGTATTGGTATTTTTTTTCTTCAATATATCGAATATTCACCGCGTGAAAATGAAAGAGAACCGATACAACGCTGGGGTAACACTACTTTGGTTGTTGCGTTCGAGTAAATTTTATTAAGATTTATTCATTTACATTGTATGTTTTTCATAATATTCGTTATCGTATTCAAATCTAAATTTGAATTTTATTTTTAAAGGTTATTTCATTATTTTTGACGTCAATATGAACATAGAAGAACATTATCTCGATAATTCTCCGGGCTAGCGTTCAACACCGCTGAACATTTTTACGACTTGTCTGACGAAGAACTATCGTAAGTGCAATTCTAATGTGTGCATTACCCCGTTCATGATATCAACAAGCCAGGTACAAAGAAGCGACTCGAGCAAATTTTGTACAGAACCATGAAAAATTATCCGGCTCCGTGTCGTCGAAGGCATGTTTCGATGCATACCACAGTTTACCAAAAATTTATCCAGAATGCCACTTTTAAAATTATAGAATTTTAATCAATAAAGCATTTCGTAAATTACATCTATTATAGTGTAACACGGTAATTATTTTTTACTAGATTTCTTTCCTTAACCCGACCAAAGGAAATAGATACTATCATATACAAAACGTGGAAACCCGAAGGACTTCTTTGTCATCAAACATTATTGTAACATACAATACAAAAATAGCGCATTTTATATTATACGAAAAACAGTACTCGTTACGTACACGTATTTACGTAAAATACACGGCCGTGCCCATGGCACAGCCACAACCAACGTTTTTTTCTATCAATAATGTTTTGAATAAAATGGCCCATTAGAATAGTTACATCAAAATATATAGAATTTTTGCTGCTATAAAATGCACAGATTCTGTTAAAAAGAAACACCACTTTTAACTGGAGCACCATAAACGTAAGAGCTTCACATATACATTAGCGTTCTATTCATTTTTAACAATTTCTATTAAAATAAGAGGCCTATCATTAGGTGGATCCGATTTAAATAAAAACTGGTTAGTCAACTTCCATTCCCGATAGATATTTAAAGAAGAAATACACGAAGCTATTAAAATAATAATCTAATAAAATAATAGCTAAGAATACACGAATAGCATATGATGACGTTATTATATAAGACTATTATGGTAGTGAATCAATACATACATACATCAAAATGGAAGTGGAAGTTGATTGTGATGAAAGTGAACATGGTTGATATAATTGTTTATACTTCAAGATTTTTTTTATTATATCACGTCAACTATTTAAACTATTATAGTATGTAATAGTGTAAAATAAGTTATTGTAATATAATAAAAATTACTTCGTTAACATTCATGTTTTGAAATAAACATAAGGGAATTAAATTATTGCTTACCTAATTGTCCCTTAGGTAAATGAGGTTGTTTCTCGTACCACGCCTGAATTGACTTAATTATGTCTCGCAATTCTTTCGGTGACACATTATAATGTTTCAGTATTGCGTCCCTGTCAACCGCTGTTACATTCAAAAGTTTTTCAACTTTTTGTGGCAGTAAATCCAGGCCCTGAATGTTGGACAAGATATCTAATAATGGGATAAGCTATTTTATAAAAAGCATGTTTATTTATATATTTGAGAAACATACAGAAAACACTACGCCTATAATTTTGTTTCCTCTAAACAATAAACGAACGGAAAATATGAAGTTAAATAAAAGAAAGCATTACAACCTTATAATAAAAATAATATAAAAAACTAATTATATACGATAAGAACAGCGGTAGTAAAAATTGTAACAAGGCCATACTAAACTTTGGATTAAAAATAGTAACTTATTATTTTTATTAACTCATTATAACTTATTTTTTTATTCAAAAACTAAAGTAATTTAATATCGTTAAGTACTTTTGTTATTAACTTTTTGTGCGAATTTATTGACAGGTTAAAAATTTCAACACTATTTTCAATGCTTAATTAATCTATATAATTTTTATCGTATTAAAATACATACCACTCCAACAGTTTCAATCTTCATTTTAGTAATGTGCTTTAATTCCTCTCGGTCAACATTTATACTAATGTTTAAAAGCGATCGCTTTACCACTGACTCGCCTCAATAGTAATACTATGTAAATTAAGTCACCATTCCAGTTTTGATTTATTATATACTAGCGGCCCGCCCCGGCTTCGCACGGGTATTTAACAAAAATTTTAAAATTAAAAATTAACACACACATACATAAAACCTTCCGAATATTTCGTCTTTGGTGAATAATTTTATGAATTTCTTCATCTTTTAATGAAATACCCTTGAAATTGTCATGAAGATCGAAAGACCGCTGACCAGATAATGGTTCTGCTTTAATTACGGGACATTCCGGGTTACACGTAAAAATGACAAATAAGTCTGGTCTCCCATAGCATGTTTTTAATGCAGATAACTTGGAGAACCTGTAAATGAATATGACGTTGCAGATTTAGCATTGAACGATATTTGATGGGTCAAAGTCTTGATTTAAAGCATCTCCAAGATGAATGTTTCACCAGCCCCAGTCTCTAAGAGATTACGACATAATATGTAATTCAATGTGGGCAGTCTGTGGGGGAGTCTATGTTCAGCAGTGGACTCAAATAGGCTGAAATGATGATGATGATGATGATGATGATGTAATTCAATCTTTCTGGTATCATTTTTGCCATCATGTCGACAATGTATTGAATAAAAACCGGCCAAGCGCGAGTCGTAGTCCCACACGAAGTGTTCCGTACCATTCCATTTGGTAGTAATTTCACTGTGGTAGGGTCCACGCAACAGTGTTCACTGTTGCACGAATGGGCAGGTCCGTCCGGGTAAGTACCACGACCTCACAGAATACAGGCGTAAAGTAGAAGTGTTATACATAGTTCTGCGTTTCGTCTGGTGAGAGAGGTAGCCGGGGCCCACTTTATTTAAACATGGCAACGCATTTGCAACCCTACAGGTGTTGCAAATGCGTTACCCTACAGGGCAGCGGATATCACTTAGCATCAGGCGAACCGCCAGCTCGTTTGCCACTTTGTCACATAAAAAAAATCAAATTTAAATATCTTTATTCAATATAGAAGTATTACACGTACTTATTGTCAAAAAACACTACTACTATTAACATTATCTATAAAAACGACAAAAAATCATGTCTGTATTATGGGAGCCCCACTTATTTATATTTTTTTTATTTTTTCGTATTTGTTGTTATGGCGGCAACAGAAATACATCGTTTGTGAAATTCACAACTGTCTATGTTCTAACTATGTATGGTTCATAAGATACAGCCTGGTGAAATATGGACAGACAGACTGACAGACAACGGAGTCTTAGTAATAGGGTGCCGTTTTACCCTTTGGGTACGGAACCCTAATAAGTCACTGTAAATATGCAATGGATTATTAAAACAGGTAGCTAACCATCAACCTAAATGCATTAAATTGCATGCATGTCACAGTTTTGTTACGCACTGAACCTTACTGAGGAATAGTCAAATAATAACCGTCTTCTTCCATTACGACGATTAAGGGATATTGTAGTGGATCAAGCAATCGGTGTAACTCGGAGACCCTTTTAAGATGGCCGTGTCTACCGTGCAGCACTATATCTTTGGGGCCTTTTTATGGTTCAGTACCCAAAGGGTAAAATGGGACCCTATTACTAAGACTCTGCTGTCTGTCTGTCCCTCTGTCAACAGGCTGTATCTCATGAGCCGTGATAGTTACACAGTTGAAATTTGATCTGGGTGTTGGTTTCCTAAGGAGGTTTAACGTCAGGCAGGCGGCTAGTTGTAAAAATATGGCCAAAACCGCTCAAAACATGATTCATGTTCTTCCGACCCCACCTAGGTGGGATAGGGGCAGGAAGATGTTGATGACTTGTATACTTGTCCCTCTATTTTAAAAGTTCGCGTCAAACGAAGTCATTTGAAAGAGGCTATTGTACTACTACTGTACGGATGTTGGTTAAAAATGTCCAGATGGTGAATGATTATTTATCAAATGATTTTCTATTGGCTGTGGCGGCTTCTTAATATTGGGGAGGCTAACTTTTCCAGAAGCACAGCACATACCATTTAT